TAGCACCCAGTATCTTTTCTAGAGACAGAGACACTAGAATCTGAGGCATGAGAATGGTAAAGATCACAATTAAAACTGCACAACAATATGAATTTGCGTCTCACCTGTGTATTGGTAAAACAACTGGGCTGAACTTGTTATGTGGTTTCACATATGCTGACAGTGAGCCTACCTCTACGACATCTAATTTGCACAATGCCATGCATGAGTGCACCAGAAGTAACAGGCCGACAGGATCCAGATACATTAACAAAGAAGCAATGGTTTTTCGGATGACTATGGGACTTTTCAGCTTGTCCCAATCTCTAACTAGCCTCATCAGAAAGAAGCACATCCCCTGTCTCTCCGTATCCTTTATGCAGACTGGCAAGAACAAGATGCATTGTGTTTTCATGCGTAATTGGTTTACTGGTTGGAGAGGCTTAAATGAAAGGAGAAGCTGTCTAAGAGAAACCGAGCCAAATAGTGCCTTTGTCTTTGGCTTCCATGTGCCCTCCCCACCTTCACAACGGGGGATTCGACCAATCGGTGCCTCGCAAGCTGTTGGACAAGACCCTCACCAGCAGTCCTGCTGAATTATTAACGCAGCCCCACAGGGCAAGAGCGGGAACAAACCTGGGGAACTTTATACTACACTGCAGCAAGGACAACTGGATATTCCTCAATCAAATCTACGTATCCTGAGTAATGATTAAAACATGACTGTGCAGAAAGCACAAGTGGCACTTTTGCTGATTGTTCCCACATTACTCTTGATACAAACACAGGGTCTTACAAAAAAGTGGAATTAACTGCCAATCTTTGGGATGAAGGAAGAACATCATTACACGTCAACGCACAAGAGTTGCGAATCTAAAGTTTGATTTGCCTTTGCAAAGGTGTGATGCCCGACAGTTGCCTCCATCCATTTTCCAGCTTGCAAAAACCCAAGAAACCAAGATGCCGCATTTAAATCAACACCAGAAAATTGAGTCTCAAATGGAGTCTAATATATTCATTCTAACAGAGTGAAGCAAGTATGGCTTTTGACTGGTTAGAATGACCCAACCGGAGAAACAAATATATTGAAAACCCTGCACTTCAATTTGATTTGATTGATTTAGGAATGCACACGGTGCTTCCTTCTGATTTACAGAGAAAGTGACAAATTCTTGAGCATTTACTTTCCAAATCACATTGGCGTACAAAAACATCTGCTACTGCATGTGTAAATTCATATATTTCCCTCAAATGTTTGACATGGCCTAACACCTGGAACTCACATGTGAGACGGATCTCTACAGTAATGGCCAAAAAAGTTTCTTTTCGCCTCACTCTCCTTCCCACATGCTCCAACGTTCAACCTCCCAAACTTCTTACATTCCCTCTCTGATGTCCTCTGCTTTTAAAAGCATGTCCTTTCTCCGACAGAAACACCGCAAGGGTTCTTTCTGTCTCCCTGCTGCCGTCAGCTGCCAAAACACGCAGGTTGCAGCGATGAGCACTATAAATATGATGTACAGCTTATGCGGTGCCACTGACCTCACAACACGCGCCGAAGGAGTGCGGGGGAGCAGGTGCCATGCAGATTTATGACACTCAGCGAGAACTTTCACCCTCTGCGTACTCTCATGCCCCAACGAGCAGAGAGTCCGGCCTGTGATGACTGAACACATTCACTCCTCCATGAAAAAACAGCATGTGGGAGAAATACAGTGTGAATGTAAAATGTGCGATTGTTTGGATACACTTTCATAACTTTGCCTGTGGCACCTGGCACTGCTGAAAGTTCTCCAGCCACCCCCTTGTTTGGGAAGTTTTGGAGAGTTCTAAAGTAGTGTTGTTGAGTTATTCAAGGATTTTTTGGTGATTTTCTGCCGTATTCAAATTTAATTTGAATAAATGCAAATTACATTTTAAATGCTAGTCAGATGTGCATCAGAATTTTTCTAAGATACATGTCAGCATTTCCAGCAAGAGATTTTTTTTTTTCCAAATCTGCCAATCGGGTGCAAACTCATTTGACAGTCACGAGGGGACCATATGGACCTCCAGACTCAACACAAAAACAGGGGTGTTGAACTTTTCTTTTTCCCTCTCGTCTTTTTTCCTTGAGGTGCATTCCACTTACGACTCAAGCTTAAAAACGACTGCTTCTTTGGAATTTTGAAAGCCATTTAATCTTGTATACCAAATGGCGCTTAGCTAGCACTTGGCAACGCCGAGACCATTTTGTATTCCTTCACCCATACTAATCTCAGCTGCAATAATAAACAAATTTAAATTTTTTATCCCGTGCCAAACAGACGTGTTGCAGAATAATAAGAACCTCAGCACCACCAGCTTCTTATCTCCAACTAGTCCTCTCCTTTCATTCTCCACAGCACTCCAGTCGCTCTTGACAGAATTAGCCTGGGTCAGCATTGAGAGTTTAGCCTGATGTCCCTATTTCCTGGGACACGGGGCGAGTTCAGCTCCAGGATTTGTGATGAAAAGAGATTGGATGGGGAAAAACGAATATAAGAAGTGCCCACATCTTCTCCTCTTGTGGAGAAAACCCTCTGGTTGACTGCGGTGGAGGTAATTACATCTCAAGTGGGATCGGACCTAAAGGAAGGACCCGCATTTGCCATGTTTTCCGCCCTGGGGAGAAGCGAACGCTTTGTGGGGAATATGCTTTGTGGATAAGCTCCATTGTAAGAGTGCTTGTGTTCCACGAGGGGTGGAAAAATTTAACCCCGAACGTGTGGGAGATTTGCATTTGCACATCCCTGAGGCAGAAACCATAGCCCTAATAATACAAGGCATTGGGAAGGCGGTCATACTAATGATTGTGGGGCCTTCAAGGTCAGGACTCTAGGCCTGAGCAGGACCCCATAATGAGGATGCACAGGAGACGGGACTAATCCAGTCTCAGACTGTCACGTCCAGACAACCAGGTGCATTTGGAACCACCACAGACAGGTTTTAGGCAGCATGTGCAGCATTGTTGCAACAAGATGCATGAATACTACATATCACAAACGGATGAAATTCTTTATCATACCACCCAATACATAGCTTTTCATTCTATTTCCAAGATTCAATCTTCGATAAGGGTAAGAGGTACAGAAAGCTTTCATGGAATATATTTGAAATGCCAAAGATGTCTGGACAAACATTTGCTGTGTTGACCTTCAATTTTCCTACTTCCCTACAGTCTCTTTTCCAAAGAGTTGGAATAAATAGCATGTCAGTGCTCCTACAAGAGATCTGTTTGCCTTTCACAAACAGTTATACAAAATGAAGCCAACGTGATGCATCTTTGATGCTCATTTTTGGGGCTGAGGGCTTTTGAGACAGAACTACATGGCCATTCTTTGCACAAAAGTAGTCTACAAAGATAAAAGCTCTGTTGAAAACTCCCTTCAACTGCCTTAGAAACTGAAATAGAACATCCAAAGTGACTTATCTGGAACATTCTACATACACAGAAACATCATGCACAACTGACTTCAAAAAAGGGCGATGCAAGAGAAGGGGTGCATTACTTTATAATATAGCAGATAAATAGCATAAATATAAAGCAGATAAACTGTTTTAAACTATTACTGGTCCAGTATTTTTACCAGAACAAATTACATTTGCAATCAATGTTTTCCATCGTTTTTTTCCTTTTTGAAAGAAAATAATACTTTTTATTCAACAATTATGCATTAAAAAGTGCTGTTTTTAAACTTTCGATTAATCAAAGAATCCTGAAAAAAAACATTGTTTCCACAAAAATATTACGCACAACTGTTTTCAACATTGGTAATAATAAGAAAGTTTTCTGCACCAAATCATAATATTAGAATGATTTCTGAAGGATCATGTGACGCTGAAGACTGAAGTAATGATGCTGAAAATTCAACTTTGCTATCGAAGAAAAAAAAAAAGTTTATTTCTGTCATTTAAAATTGCAATAATATTCCAAAATATCATTGTGCATGAGACTTTTTTTTTTTAAATCGAACCCAAACAATAGTGTATGTATGAAGGCAGATTCTAACAAAGAGCTACAGTAATATCTAAGAGCTCTGTAAATGTTTATGAATGTTTTAAAAGTAACTGAAGAGTTTGCTATGCTTGCTGACAGCACTTAACATTATAATACTCTAGCTCTACAACTGCATTATGAATTGGAAAGACTAATTCAATGTAAGAACTGAAAGATATTACAAAACAAATTTTTATTACAGTCAGGCAGACTATAAATATCATCTGTACCGTATCTCTGTCCTTGTGAGATTGTGAAACAGAGTGCTCTCTTGAGGCTGTAGTGTCATTTTCTACACTCTATACCAGCTATTCTCATCTTCCACTGGATCACCCACATAGCCAAAGCCGCCTTTTCACTTATCGACTTGTTTCTCCAGTGAAGGTCAGAATGTTAGCAAGCTTTCTCCAAACATAACACCACACTCACTGCAGGAGACTCTCTGCTCTGGCCCCTAGAAGGTGAACTCTATTTCCACTTAAGCAAAAAGGGTCAGGGATCTTCTCTCACCGATTGACTCATCTCATCTGAGTGCATTTAATCTGGAAATTGAGGTTCTGGCTGACTCTGCTCCTTCATGTCACAAGCGTCAGAACGTTCTAGGCTTCTCTCCCGAAAATAACATAGAAAGGGTGTCCAATTTCCACAGCTTGACATTTGTAAAGAATATAAACAGTTTATGAATGGTAAAACCTCGCTCGATACAGATTCATCGACAGACTTAAGGTGAAGGTTATGCAAAGGCCATGGAAATCCAGGAAGAATAAGAGACTCTACAGAAGGACCTGCAATGATTGGATCTGAAACGGGTCATATCTCCATAAAAACTTCATGTTATCACCAGGCAACCCGTAATTTATCTTAAAAAAATGTCAAAAGCTCATGAAAGAGATGAAAAGACACCCACAATAAAGCAAACATGTTATTTAAATAAGATATTTGAGAGAAGCCCTTCTAGGGTAAATATAAAGCAGTCTTTTAGGTAAGAAGAAAGAAGCAGTACCTGTGTAGCCCAGAGAGTTGTCGTCATCGTGTTCTGCAGTGGGGGCCTCTGTGGCCCTATTGCTAGTCCCCTCCTGAGTCCCCGTGTCTGTTGGAAGTAACACAGACTCTAAGTCCTCGAGCAAAGAGTATTGGGCCAACGGCGACACGGTAGCGCCCCAGTATCCCTGATACCAACAGATGAGCAGTACTAGGCTCTGCAGACAGTGACTTTTGAAAAGTCTGCAATTGCAATCTCCAAACTGCATTATCAAGTCAAGAAAGCACTTCAAACTTCCCCAAAACAAATATATAGAAGCTCCAAGGTGTTACTCAATTTTTAGCCATTAATCCATTGGAGAATCCCAAGAGCGCAAGTCCTAAATATGGCATTTTCCTTCTCTTCACAGGCCTAAAGAGATGCAGTTAGCCCTGAACGTCTATGTGTATGTCTGAGGAGTGACGATGTGTGCCCTCTTGCAGCGCATGGGCAGAACTAGGACGACCCAACTGCAAATACACACAAAGTCACTAACACACACCCTATTTAGATCTGTATACAGTCATTGACTAAACTAATTCCCCAATCAGCGCATGTCGCTTTTCTGGAAGATGGACTGACAGCCCTCCTCTACGCCTGGTTTAGAAAGGGAGGACCAGGCAGGGGGTGTGGCAGATGCCCCCCATCATGGCGAAGTGTGGGATAAATCAGACTGGAGCCATGCCCACTTCCATTGTTGGGCACTGACAGGGGGTTAATTTGGGATGAGGGGAGGTGAAGGGGCCTGTTTAATATAAAGGGGGTCAGAATGGGCCAGATGACTGGGAAGCATCCTGTCAGGACCGTCATGGCCGTGAATGAAGATTGGCATCATTTACGGAGATAAAACGGCAGACAGGCAAAACAAAAGGAAGTCATTGGAGAGCACTTAGAGCTCGGGGAAGTGTGACCACTGTCTGTCCTTTCGTTCACCCTGTCGCTAAACCTCACTAACAAATATTGCTAATCCTTCAACATTTCAAAGTCATAATTGAGTGCTTGAATGATTTTCAGGAGAATTCAAATGCCTATTTTATGACTTGGGCCACACTAGCTAGCACTTCTGTTGATGCATTTAATGAAATGACACTTTTAGCCTGCTATATGCTGAGATGGCAGATTCTCAACAAACACCTCACTGAGTACGTTCACAGGATCCCAAGGTCGTGACCATCATGAGACTGTTGGCTAGCTTGTGTTGGAAGCATTCAAGCATTCCAAATACAACATTTGTGCACTTTTAGCAATGTTAAAGGACAGTTCATGAACATTTAACATCAAGCATGCAAACACATAGAACTCACACATTTACTTGAGTCTGTCTGTTTGTGTATAGACACCATATTGACTTCACCATACCATCAGGCTTTTCTGTTCAAACCTCAAAACCCAAGTTCTTTGTAATGCAAATGAATCAATAAATACGATTTTAATACCAGGTCTACAAGCATAGACACATTTAAAGCTTTTATTCAATATGTAATCGCTACACAGAATTAGCACAACTCACAGAATTCCAAAGGATTGGAAAAACCAACATCCACAAAATTCTACACACAAATTTATATGCTAAACATCTTTACAGCAAATATTTTGGAAAATAGAAAGCTCAAACATATTTATTTAAAAAAAGAACAAATATTGTATACCCTGAAGGGGAATCAATGTAGACAAGGAAACCTTGAACATTCTAGCTCCAAAACTGTACTGGCTACTGTAGAATATGGATTTATGGTGGGTTTGGAGAGAATACTTCATGATTCATTAACAGGTGGTGTGCCCAGATGCCCTGGAGGACACACAAACAAAAACCTGGTGCTCCCTCAGATTCAAATGGCCCTGATCCACACAAACCAATCCAAAATGCCCTGCCTCCCCTGATGGCTAATTAAACCAAACCTTATGCGGCTAGCTGACATGTCTACATGGGCCCATTAGAAGGATGTTCCCCATGCACCCCAAAGCCCCGGCTGTCCGCTCATTTTCAGACACACACCCTGCTTTCTCGTTTTCTGGCTTTATTGATTTAAGAAGAAGTTGATGTACTAGCTCAATAACAGTGGACCCAGACAACCAACATAAACACAACAACAACAATTGAATTCGTTCATCTTAATGGCTTTAAAAATCAAGGCCATTTGTTGAGTCTGCCATCAGTCGGTTAATTATTTTTTAAGGCAGGAGAGGGCAAGGGAATTATAAAGAAAATGAGTTACCGTGTTAATTAACACACCTCTTTTTTGATAGCAACTTCTCATTTTTAGTTCAGCTTAAAGCCCTGATTTATGAAAGGGGTTTAATTAAGTCACACAAATTAACTTAGCTGGACACAAATTAATTCGTGCAGAGAGAAAGAAATATGTGAACAGTGCAACCAGACTGCAAATTACCAAAGATTATGTTGAATGATTGTGTGGATGGACACAGCTTTTGGTCTGCAGGAAAGAGGAAGGGAACACACACGGAGAACATACTATTTCTGATTACGAATAGATTCAGAATGTTAAACAACTTGTTTAAAGGACGTGTTAAGACATTAAATTAATAAAATTGCTCCATACCTGCAGCAATAATCATATGCAGCTTATGCCAGCAACAATCCAACAGTGCCCATGTAAAACAAGCAAAAATCTATAATTCTACAGATATGTGGTGCAAACTACTCTAATCTGAGAGAAAAAAAGAGACCACAATTTTTAAAACAATTTGTTTTTGCTTAAATTGGTCAAAGTCTTCACCAAACGATTCAAGTAAGAAGCTAGAAAAATATAGATGTATAAAAAAATATAAAAATATGGTGTCTCTCATGCAGTTTTTTGTACAATTTAAATTACTGAAATTTTGAAATTGAAGATCTTAAGCCTAAAAAATATAGAATATAAAACAGAATATTACATAAATATAGAATATAAAATATAGAGGTATAAAAATATTTTTAAAAATATGGTGTCTCTTGTGCAGTTTATGTACAATTTGAATTTATGAAATTTTGAACTTTAGAAATTTGAATTTGAAGTTCTGAAGCCTAAAAAATCTAGAATATAAAATAAATAATATAAAATATAAATAGAGAATATAAAATATAGAGGTGTAAAAAATATAAAAATGTGGTGTCTATGGAAGCCCGTTTCCGACACTGAATAAAAAACAAAAAAGGTAATTGTGACTTTTTATCTCACAATTCTGACTTTTTTTCTCAGAATTGCGTGATATAAACTTGCAATTCTGACTTTTTTCCCCAGAATTGCGTGATATAAACTCGCAATTGCAAGTTAAAAAGTCATAATTGTGAGATATAAAATCGCAATTCTGAGGAAAAAGTCAGAATTGCATGATATAAACTCACAATTATGACTTTTTTTCTCAGAATTGCAAGTTTGTATCTCGCAATTCTGAGTTATAAAGTCAGAATTGCGAGATATAAACTCGCAATTGCGTGAAAAAAGTCAGAATTGCGAGTTTTTATCTTGCAATTGTGACTTAATATCTCGCAATTCTGACTTTATAACTCGCAATTGTGAGTTTATATCACGCAATTCTGAGAAAAAAAGTCAGAATTGTGAGTTTATATCTCGCAATTCTGACTTTATAACTCGCAATTGTGAGTTTATATCACGCAATTCTGAGAAAAAAAGTCAGAATTGTGAGTTTATATCTCGCAATTCTGACTTTATAACTCGCAATTGCGAGTTTATATCTCACGATTCTGTGAAAAAAAGTCACAATAACCTTTTTTTATTTTTTATTCAGTGGCGGAAACGGGCTTCCATAGGTGTCTCTCTTGCCGTTTATGTACAATCTGAATTTATGACATTTTAAATATCACAATTTTGAATTTGAAGTTCAATTTGAAGTTGAAGTTAACTTTTAAATAAACATTTGTATAAACATTTTATCAAATCTATACAAATGTCTCAAAAACAATTCAATTTTGTTAAATGTCATAGGTATAGATTTCAAATTCAGACCTATAAAATATGCCCCCAATATATACATTTTATGTCTAAAATCCAAATGTGCAAAACTCAAATTTTATTTTATTTTAGTCATTATGTATCTATATTTAAATTGTGGAAGAATCACCAACAACTACCATTCAAGTTACACACCAGTTTTAGGAATTTGTTCAAATCTTTAACCTCAAGTAGGAGGAACAATAATAGTGATGCTAGCCTTAGCAGAACTGGATCTGCTAATACCAGATCCAGTTCTGAGACAGCAGCCCAGCAGTTAATATCATCAGGGCTCCAGCCGGACCACACCAGGGTCCGTGGCTCTCTGAGGGTCTGATTAGCTCCCGTATTATTGAAAAGTACCAAGGGAGGGATTATGCAGATGAGGGCACTGCGGTCCACACAGTGGGCAGGAAACCAAGCATCATAATGAGAGACTACAGAAGAGCTTTTCCTTCTGTACGGGATGTACAGACAGGGAACAGGGGAGAAATGGTTATGGGAAATTACAGGGTGGTTTCAGAGAGCTTAGGAGAACCAGACCGTCTGGCATCTAGATATTAAATAAGTTAAGGCCATAGACATATCTATAGTGCTCTTGAGGTTGTTAGTGTTGGCCCACATTTTACTACTCTTTTATAGCCTATATGAGACTTAATGTAATTCTTAGTTAAGTATTAGTGAAGTTTCAACATTGATGAAAGTCTCAAATTTCGCAGATGTTTCTCCTTAGGTGTCTTAGGAGAAATATAAATAGAAACAATTGACATACAATAACAGTGTATTGTAGAGCTGTATAACTAATGTAAAACAGCATAAACGATGAAAATTTAAAGATTTGAGTTCAATCTTGATTTTTTTTTTTTTTCAAACTGTGCTATCTTAGCAAACTGGATTACAGTTCGTAATAAGATGAAAAGTACAAAAAAGAACAAAGCTTTCTCAAGAGGAAAAAACAAACAAAAGGCAAGCCAACCTTAGGCAAGAGGTGTCCATTTGTTCACCACTCATTTTTGTACAAGAAAACCAACTGAGATATTAAAAAGATCGCAGGAAACTGATGATAAATCTTTGAGTTCATTTTGAGATCTCTTTTGATTTCAAACTGTGCTATCA